TTCCATGTATAAGAAATGACCAGAAAAGGCAAATATTGAGACAGAAAGTAGCTCAGTGAATGCCAGGGGCTGCGAGGACTGGCAGGGGGAAAGGGAGAGTGACTGCTAAAAGGTGTGGAGTTTCTTTTTAGGCTGATGAAAATGACCCTGGCTGGGCATGATGGCTCATGTCTGTAATCCCAGCACTTTGGGAAAGCTGAGGCTGGTGGATTACTTGAGGTCAGGAGTTCGAGAGCAGCCTGGCCAACATGGTGAAACCCCATCTCTACTAAAAATACAAAAATTAGCCAGGGGGTAATGGCCTGCACCTGTAATCCCAGCTACTTGGCAGGCTGAGGTAGGAGAATTGCTTGAATCCGGGAGGTGGAGGTTGTGGTGAGCTGAGACGGTGCCACTGCATTCCAGCCTGGGTGACAGAGTGAGACCCTGTCCCCGCAGCCCCCCAAAAAGAAAGAAAATGTCCTGGAATTAGATAATGGTGATGGTTGCCCAACCTTGAAAATATACTGAAAACCACTGAATTGCACACTCTAAATAGGTGAATTGTATGGTATGTGAACTTTATCCCAATAAAACTGTTTTTCTGTTTAAGTGCCCCAGTCTGGAAGTCACACGAACATCTGCACTAGTTGTGAGGTGCTGTGAGGCCAGTGGCAGCTGCACCAGAGGAGACAACAGCCTGGAAAGCTTAGCTGTACCTGGGCCCCTCCACTCCTACCCAGGCATGGGTCTACAGACCCCTCAGATTCTGGAAACGACTCTAGTTCCTTCCAAGAACTCTTCTGCCAAATTAACCTGAATTGTTTCTGTTATTTGCAATCCCAAGCCTTGATTGGTACCAGGATATTCACTGTGTTGCCAGCTTTTAACAGGTTTTAAGCACTCAGTAAATGTGTTCAAGAACTGGCTGAGGTCAGGTGCCATGGCTCATGCCTGTAATCCCAGCACTTTGAGGAGGCCGAGGCAGGAAGTTCACTTGAGGCCAGGAGCTCAAGACCAGCCTGGGTAACATGGTAAGACCTCCATCTCTAAAATAATTAATAATAATAATAAAAAGAACTGGCTGAGCTAACATAGGTACAGTGTAAATACTACTAGCCACAGTGGTTACTGTTTGTTGTGCCAGCACTTGCTGCTGGGTGATGCGGGCACTCCAGTTCGTTGCTGGCTACCATGCCAAGTATACATAGGCATCACCTCCCCTTGACAACCTTCCTGAGCAGTGGCCAGAGGTCTTAACAGATTGCAAACATGGGCCTGAGTGAATTGGGTAAACCAACCGCAGTGCATCACACACAATGAGGAATATTACTTGGCAGTAAAAAGAAGTCAGCTACCCAGCCACAAAAAGCAACAGAAAGACCTTGAAAGCATATTGCTAAGTGAAAGAAGCCAATCTGGAAAGTTGCATACTGTATAATACCAACTAAGTGACATTCTAGAACAGGCAAAACTATGGAGGCAGTAAAGAGATCAGTGGCTGTCAGGGACTCAGGGGGAAGGGACAAATAAGTGGAGCTTGAGGAATTTTGAGGGCAGTGAAGCTCTTCTGTATGACACAGTAATAATGGACACGTGTCAAACCCCATGGAGCGAACTGCAGCATGAACTGTGGACTTCAGTCAATCATAATTAACCAACATTAGTTCATCAGTTGTAATAAACGTACCATATTAACATAAGACGTAAAGAATACACCAGACTGTGGGGAGGGGAAAGGGGGAGGAAGGTATATGGAAACTCTCTGTACTTTCCAATCAACTTTACTGTAAACCTAAAACTGCTTTTGAAAAAGTGTATTAAATACACACACACACACACACACACACCCCAACAGGTTAGGTAATTCGTCCAAGGTCAAACAGCTAAGCATGGAGGAGGGAGGATTTGAACCCAGGGTTGCTAACTCAAAAGTCCAGGCTCTCCACGGCTGCAGCCCCACAGGGCAGGCCTATTCACGTTTCTATCACCTTCCATGTCAACGCCAGCTACAGTATCCGTATAACTGCAAATTGTACCTCAAAGGGCCAAGCTCAATATTTTGGTTGGTATCAGGAAAGCATAGGCACAGAATGAGTCTAGGAACATTAGGGAGGAAAGGAACCCCCCCGCCACAAACAGTGCCAGGGCTGGTGGGGATGGGAGGCCAGCCTTTGGCAGCATGCTAGGGCCCTGGGGAAGGGGGCAAGCACGCAGATGGAGAGACACCCCCCTTCTCCTTGGCCATGGCTGCCCTTGCTGGGCCTCAACCCCAGCCCAGCCCTGGGATGATGGTCTGAGGCTGAGCTCAAACACCAGAGATCTGAGTGACTGCCCCAAGCCTCTGGCCTCAGTCTCCCCATCTGTATCATGGGAGGGTTTGAACGCCCTCAGCTGATCTCCAAGGGCCTTTCTACCACTCAATTTCTAAAACCCTTTAGCTACTCGCTCTCTCCTCACCCCTAGTAGCAAAGTAGAGAGGGGACTGCTCAAGGAAAAGGGAACACCAATCCCTGATCCCTCCCTGGTCTGACTGCGGAAGAGCCCCCTCCACTCCCACGGCTAATCACTGGGCATCCTGACGGTCACCCTCCTGGGACGCAGTTCAAAACTTGGATGAAAGTGGCAGGAAGGCCTATAACAAGGTTAGGTGCCTGGTCAACCTGAGCACCAGGCCTGAGCTCTGGCCTTGCCCAGGTGTCCACCATTTTTGACAGGGGTCAAGGTGTAGGTGCATTGTAGCCTAGAAGACTCACAAACAGTGATGACCCCAAACTTCCCTTACGGTAAAACCCCAGGCATGAAAGGTGCAGGGCCGTGGTAACTTGTTTCCATAGCGCTCTGGGATCACGGCCTTGGAGCAGGACCAGGCCTTTCTGTGGTCCTTCCTCACTGCTTCATCCATCCCTGCTCCCGACCCAGGTGTGCCTGTGAAACCACCTTAGGCCTGGAGCCCCTCCACCTATCCTCAGTGCCTTGCAAACTCCTGCTCATATCAGCTCAGGTAGCCCCTCCTCCAGGAAGCCCTTCCTGACTTGTCACAGTCCCTTACGGATCCCACAACTCTGTGTTTCCTGACTACAGTGTAGGGGCTTCCGGGAAAGGGTGGGATCCACACAGAATTCAGAAATGAGGAAAGATTTGCAGCACAAAGGGGAGAAGGAAGGGTATTTTAGGTAAGGAGACAGCACAACGGAAGCCTGGGTGCCAGGGAGGGCAGTGACTGGGGCTTCTCCCAGGGTAGAGGCACCCCACACAGCTCACCCACTGGACCGTTTCCCAAAACAAAACAACCAAACCCAAACCTACAAAAGGAATCTCTGGCCCCAGGGTGAGGGCTGGAGATGGGAGAGACAGAAAAGACTCTGAAAAAAGCCCGGCCAGTGAAATGTGGAACCCACCCATCCCCGGCCCTGCTACTGCTCTCCAGCCCCAGCCTCCTGCAGGTTGCTTTTCCAGGGTGCTCACAATTCAGTCTATTTTCCATTGCATAGTCTCATTCGATAGCTTGAATGGAGAGATCATGGCTGCCACCATCTCACGGTGCAGCCTTGGGGAAGTCCACCTCTCTGTACCTCAGAGAAAGCACTAGATTCTAATGGAATCTGCAGAGAAGGTAACCAGACCTAGGGGCAGGAAGGAAGTCTAAGTTACAGAGGCAGCTGCCAGTGAGGAGAGGCTCAGTGAGGTGCCTGGAAGGAGGCAGCGTGAGAGGCCTTGAGGGGAAGACCAGGTGGGGCCTGTGGCACACAGGCCCTGCAGGCCTGCTCATTCTTGGGAAACGTTGCTCAGTGGCCAAGGCTGGGGCTCAGCCGGAGCCTCAAAGAATCAATCATGACATAATTAGGGTCAGTATTAACCTCTTTCCACGATGATGCCAGGGCATGCTGTTTACCCAACACTTCCATCCCAAGAGACCTCTGATTGCCATTCCTCTTGGGAGGAGGCTGGCAGGGCCCAGGGACGAAGGTAGATTAGTTCTTCTCCAGCTCAGGAGCCTGCCTGGGGGCCTTCAGCTCTCTTGGCACACAAAGGATTTCTCTTTCCCAGGTCAGGGCTATGAGCTTGAGCTGAGTAGTCACCAAAAGTGACCTGGCCATGTCCAGAGGGCAGAGCTTAGCATCTCATAGCTCAAAATCTCAGGCTGTAAATGCCCCAAATTGGAGCTCTAGAATCACTTCACCCAAGACTCACAGAGTCATGGAATCCTCCTTGAACAATTCAACTAACATCTTCAAACTATCCCTGGATTTCAGACTGCTAAGTCACAAAACATCAGCACCAAAGTCCTGGAGGCATTCCATCCAGCCACCCCTTCCATTCAGAAATCCCCTGTGCCGCTCTTACTCCTGGTCCTCCAACCTCTCCAGACCGGCCAATGGCTTCCCTAGGCTTGCATACTCCTAGTGACAGGCCCCTCTCTCCCTGGAGGGCTGAGTGATTCTCACCAAGCCATCAGGACTGCAGGAAAGCCATCCTAAGAAGAGATCCCACCCCATCCCCTTCTCCCCGACTGACACTGACAGGTTATCTGGGAACAGGCAGAGCCAGCGAAGGGCCCCAGGACTACTACTCGACGGTAGTGGAGACTTCCAGCATCCCCCACCCTCAGTTTGACTTGTACAAGTCCCTTCCAGGAGCCCAGGGATTCAACACCAGGGGCAACGCTGGCTTTTTCTGCTGGCTCTTCCTCAGTCCCAGGGATGGAGGAGTGGGAGAATGGAGCACACTGAGTAAATGAAGGAGGGAGGAGGAGGAGGAGGAATGTGAGTATGGGATAGGCTTGTACAGAGCAATCTTGTCTCTGTCCTCCCCTGCCCCTCCTTGCACCACTGTGCTCCAAGGACACCACCTACCCAGCTTTCCCACCTCTAGGCCTTTTGCTCAGGTTGGGCCCTCCGCCAGGAAGGCCCTCCCCAAATCCCAATCCAAATCCCATGCATCTTAACAAACAGACCCTGTGCAAAGCTTGGGCTAATTCCCCCCAACAAAAGCCCACTGCCTCCTCCCTTTGTGCTCACATCATCTGGCAGCGCTCCTGAGAATGATCACAGGCCTCAGTGTGCTGTAATTATCTGCTTCCGTGGCTGCCTCTCCTGCCAGACTGAGAGCTTCTCCAGGTTCAGACTTCTGATCCACTTGGCCAAGCTTTTCTGAAGACCTATAGTGTCTGCACCCCATACCTGGTGATGGGGACACAAGATAAGCCAGACCCTGTCCTTGCTAGAAGAGTCACTGTATAGGGCACCTATGTCCCCTGCATTGGGCTGGGCACCAAGGAGGTACCTATTCAGTTGTCAGTCAAAAAGCTGGCTAAATGCAAGAAAGAAGGAAAGAAAGAACCAATCAAAGCCTCTTACACCACAGAAATGCAGAGCCACTTCTGAGCCGGGTCTGAATTCTGTCTCTGAATAATAATTAGCCTTTTCCCAATTTACAGAAAAAAATTAAGTTACTAAAAAAAAAAAAAACTCAAGTAGGTACTTTTCTCTCACAAATTTTTCTTAAACCTCTGATATCCACTTGCACATTTCTGTACCAGATCTAGTGTAAGATGACCTCAGATTTAGCACAGGATACCAATTTCATCATTGTCACGAACATTGCCACTCTTCACAGTCTTCTGCAAAGAGCAGCAATCTCTGCTTCCAGGCACATCTAAGAACCTGGAGCCTAAACTTTTCCTCCCTTCCTTCAAATGTCCAGGTTTCCCCTTGGTGACCTATGAAAACTGACCTTGTTCAAATGCTGAGGAAGAAAGTCCCAGGTGTTGGCTGGCCTTCCTTGAAAGTTCATGCCAATTCCATTATACTAAAGCCTCCAAATCCACTATTTATCATTCATTCCTTTGAAGGAAGCATCACTTTCTCTAGGATTCTCTTTTAAAATACAAATCTTCTCTGGAGTTGGGAGCCCATTCAACCCTCAGATTGGAGGTCAAGGAAACTTAGTTTAATGCTGGGCTCTTGAGAGGTAGTAAATCATAGGGGTTGTGAAGAGGTCAGCCTGCCTGGGTTTTTATTTATTTAAAATTTTTTTTTTAGAGACACAGTCTTACCCTGTCACCCAAGCTGGAGTGTAGTAGCACAATCATAGCTCACTGCAGCTTAAACTCCTGGGCTCAAGTGATCTTCCTGCCTCAGCCTCCCAAGTAGCTGAGACTACAGGTGTACGCCACAGTGCCTGGCTACCTGACTGGGTTTGAAACCGAGCTGTACCATGTATTTAATGGGGCAAGTTTCTAAATGCCTGTATGCCTCAGCTTCCTTACCTATAAAGTGGAATAACCATGGCATCAGCCTCAGGGGCTCTCAGACAAGTATCTGGAACGCTGTACTAAGCAAGAGACAACTCTACTCAGAGCTTCAGTTGCTTCCTGTCCATAAAATGGGATAATAATCCCATTTATGCCTTTTTCATAAACTGTAGAGTGCTGCCCCCATGGGAGAGGTGGACAATGTGTAAGAACCCAGTGATCTGCCCTCTGCAGCCTGCCTCTAATTCCTTTCTCCTTCCCTCTTCTCTTTACCTGGAAGAAGCTACCAGTGGCTGTGAGCTGGGCTCCAGGGGGTGTCCTGTCCACGGAGGTGGTGATATCACTTCACAGGGAGGGCTGAGGGGACAAGGAGATAAACCCAGTGAGCTCATTCATCAGTCCACCCTGCCTTCTACCCTCCCACTTAACCCTTAGTGAGTTCCCATCCTCTTCCCTCCCTGTGCTGGGTGTGGGACCCACAGGACAGGTGACACCAAGTCCCTGCCCTGGGGAAGCCACAAAGCTGGTGGGTGGGCTGGCAGGACATACATGATCTAATCCCCAGCCACGAAACCCGGCACATGCAATCCACCTCCACGCAGGCTGCCCACAAACCAGCCCCAGGCCCAGACAACCTGTTCCCTGAACCACTCCTTCACTCTCCAGGACGCACAGACCCAGGATCCAAAGCACAGCCACCCTGGGGGCAAAGGCCCTTTCACACCGCCCAGGGACCTGCTTCTCTGAAGTAGCTGCCAAACCAGCTGTTCTTCTAAAGCAGCTGCTAAGGGAAGGCTGGTAGCCCGGAGGTGGGATCTGGGGCACCACAATTACGTGCCTGAGCTCTGACTCATGCACTACCTCCCCCATCGCCAGCTCCTGCAGCCAGCAGGGCATCCCTCCACCCCCCTTCCCCGCCCAGGAACTGGGAGAAGAGATGGTACGGACAGGCCACGGGGAGTAAAGGGGTCAGGAGAGGTGAGGAGGAGACTGCAGGTCAGCATTGCAGGCTTCAGAGGAGCTAACATCTTGTCTACTAGGGGACACCAAGGCTGCAGGGATGGAAGCCTACCTACATCACACAGAGGCAGGGCTAGGGCTGGGACCTGAGCCTCCTGGTGCCAGTAGAACAACTCTCCCCAACCCAACTGGATTCTAGAGTCACTCACCGGCAAGAAACACACAACCAAACACACACCTCTGTGTGTGAACCAGGGGTGGACAGAGCTGGACTCAGAGACCTCTTAGGAATGACAGCCACTGAGAGACCAGCACTTAGGACACTCCGAGGCCTACCCCTCTGTACCTCCAGTCCCCAGGTTTCTCACAGTACCCCAAATGTACAGGACTTTACAGTTTATAAAACATACTTATTTCCTCTACCTCCTACAATGATCCTAAGGCCTAAGTGGCAGAGAAAATATAAATAGACCAATGGCTTCTCCTTTCAACTTTGATGTTTGAGAAGCCATTCGTCTATTTATATTTCCTGGGGCCTTAGACCTTGGAAACCTAGGGAACTTGTTAAAATGCAGTCTGACTTGGTAAGTCTAGGCTAAGGCCTGAGATTCTACATTTCTGATAAGCTCCCAGGTGATGCTGATGCTGCAGGTCCCTGGACCACAATTTGAGTAGCGAGCCCAGAATGAGTTAAGAGCATGGGACCTGGAGTTCAACTACACAAGTAAGAATCTTGTCTCTTACTGTGTGACCCTGGGCAAATTACTTAACCTCTCTGTACCCCAATCTCCTTACGTATAAAATACTACTACTAATAAAACCTACCCCATAGGGTCAATGTGAGGATTAAATTAGTTACCATATGTAAAATACTTAAAGTGATTATTATTTTAGATTTTAAAATGGAGGTTCTGAGAGATGAACACACCCAGCAAAGTGGCAGAGCCAGAATTCAAGCTCAAACCGCCAAGCTGCACAAAATGTCACAGCCATAAACCCCTTCCCACATCAGACAGACAGGGGTACTGCGGCCCAGAGAGGGGCAGAAAACCAAAATGACCACCAGAAAGTTGGTGTGAGACATACAAGTCCATGACTCTGTCCCAGTGCTCCTTCCACCATACCTTACTGTCTGTCAGAAAGGAAAGTACCATGGCGTCTCCCCAGGGCTCAGCTCTGCTGTCAGCCTCGCCCGGGCCCACAGCTGCCCTGGAAACTATGTGTGGGGTTGGCTGGATGTGGGGGCTGCCCCCATTCCCACTCCGTCCTCTCTGGAGCCCCTGTCCACCAGGCTGGGTGAGGCAGAATGGTCTCACATCCTCCTGCCATTCCCCACCTCCTACCTCCAGCCTGTGCCCACTGCCCTGTGTCAGGTCAGCCAGCTGGGGTCAAAGGCAGAGAGTGACACGCCAGGGTCTGGCTCCACCCCCACCTTGCCTTCCCAGCACGGGGCCAGTAGGAGCCTGTGAGTCACTTGAAGGAAGTGCTTGGCCCCAAACAGGAAGCCACTCTTCAAGCAGAAGCCCCCCACCCCCCCACTGCTAAGATCCCCCAGTGCCCTGGGGCAGATGGCTGGGTAGGGGAAGCTGGTGAAGGAAGGGAAGCTGATTGGGACACAGCAACATCTACTCAGATTTTACCTGACATTTAAACTTGGCATGCGCCGTCCGCTTTTTGCTGCCTGGCCTGAGCACTTTTCTGCTATGGCCTGGCTGTGTGTCTTAGATACATCAGTGCCCTCTTTGATCCTCACCAATGGGATCATGGGCTGCACTAAAAGACTACTATGGCCTGGTAGTCTAAATGAAATGAAGGATTGGAGCAAGTGAATATAGGGTTTTATTTTATTTTATTTCAAGTGATTCTCCTGTCTCAGCCTCCCAGGTAGCTGAGAGTACAGGCACGCACCACACCAGCTAACTTTTGTATTTTTACTAGAGACGGGGTTTCACCATGTTGGCTAGGTTGGTCTCCAACTCCTGACTTCAGGTTATCTGCCCACCTTGGCCTCCAAAGTGATGGGATTACAAGCGTGAGCCGCAGAGCCCGGCAAATGCAGAGTTTTAAATGAATGAACAAATGCACATGAGTGAAGTGAATGAGTGAATTAAGATACCTAGACATAAAACTCTAGCTACAGCATAAGATCTATTATTTGTCTATTGTTCATTGTATGATAGAGAACTCTTTACTGGCAAGAAGGCCCACCCCTAAACACCCTTGGACAGGGAAAAGGGGCCCCCACACATCACTCTCACTCACTCACACACACACACACACACGCACACACACTCACAAGTCAATTCATTAGCCTACACAGGAGCCTCTGTCACGTTACACTCATGTGACCTGTAATCCTAAACATTCGCTCCTAACACCACTAAGGCCCCAGCGAAACTCTTCTCTGTTTCTTTTTTTTTTAAGGCCTGAGGTAGGGACTGGGTCTCACCATGTTGCCCAGGCTGGAGTGCAGTGGCTATTCCTAGGCACGATCATGGCATACTACCACCTCAAACTCCCAGGCCCAAGCAGCCCTCCCACCTCAGCCTCCTGAGTAGCTGGTACTACAGGCATGCTACCAGACCAGGCCTCTCCATTTCCTGAACTTGAAGAACAAAAGGTGGTTCTGTTAAGATGCTGTGAAGGTCTATGGTTTGTGTTGCTGCTGAGGGTGGAGATGGATGCTGCTTCGGGGAGGGGTGTAGCAGGAGGGGCCCGAGTGGTAAAAATATTTAAGGGGAGACAAATTAGCTTGTCAAAGCCTTCCTCCCAGACAGCAGCCAGCACCAGCTTCTTGCATAAGCAAGCATCTCTATTCCAGTCCTGCTGCACATCCTTTATTTTGGAATTTCTTCCTGCTCTAATTTGTGGTTCTAAAAGTACTCATGAATTAGTGTGATATTCACAAAAATGCATGTGGTGGCTGAGGAACATCTTACAACATTCAGCAACTCACATTACTCACACTAATGTGATGTGAAGTCTGGTATTAATTCTTTAACTTTGCAAGTAGATGGACATTGAATGCTAAAACTGTGAATAGTTTCATTTCTATAAAATCTTCAAAAATTGAATTAATATTTCATCTCTATTTAAATACTTTATTTAAAAATCTGATCTTCAATAACTGTGATGGATAGTGTTTTAATTTTGATAGATAATTTTATGGAATAAAAGCACTTTTGAAAACATAAAATAAATTTTCCTGTGTTTACATTTACATTTGTTTACTTTTTTTTTTTTTTTTGAGACAGGGTCTCACTCTGTCACCCAGGCCCGGGTGAGGCTGACAGCAAAACTAAGCAGTGCAGTTGCTTAGTTCACTGCAGATCTTGGTTCACTGCAACCTCTGCCTCCCAGGTTCAAGTTATTTTCCTGCGTCAGCTTCCCAAGTAGCTGGGATTACAGGCATTGCCACCATGCCCAACAAATTTTTGTATTTTTAGAAGAGATGGGGTTTCATCATGTTGGCCAGGCTGGTCTCCAACTCCTGACCTCAAGTGATCTGCCTGCCTCAGCCTCCCAAAGCGCTGGGATTACAGTCATGAGCCACTGTGCCCAGACACAGTTCATTTTTATTTATCCCATAAGATGTATTTTATTATTTTTATTTTAGCAAGATTACTAATTATATTGTTATAAGCAAGATTTTCATCACTTGTGTTCTATTGATGGCAATAATCTAAAGGATTAAAAATAAAATGTGATTTATATTTAACGTATATAAAATTTGATGGCTGGATGTGGTGGCTCATGCTTGTAATTCCAGCACTTTTGGGAGGCTGAGGTGGGGAGATTGCCAGAGGTCAGGAGTTTGAGACCATCCTGGCCAACATGG